CTGAATTGCAGAGGCAGGTAGCAATATCGGAAAGAGAATTGGAAACAGTGAGAGAGCAATTAAATGAATCGCAACAGCGTGAGTGGGTCATTAATCGGAATGACATTCAGATCTTAGAACAGGAACTAGGACATGGCGCGTGGGGATTTGTTTACCGGGGGAAATTTCATGGCTGTGATGTCGCTGTGAAACAAATGCATGAAAATCTGATTACGTCTGATTATACCAGGCATGCGTTTGAGCGAGAAGTCGGCATGGCTTCAAGATGCCGCCATCCTTGTCTGTTGCAGTTTATTGGAGCAACAACTGATGAAAGGCCACTGCTGGTTACAGAGATCCTGGATTGCAGTCTGAGGGAAAAACTGAATAATGAAGACGTGACGCCCCTTTCTGCTAACGAAGTCCCTGTTATTTCTCGAGATGTAGCTCTGGGGCTGAATTACCTGCATCAGCAGCCCATACCTATCATCCATCACGACGTCAGTAGTGCTAATGTGTTGCTATGGCGACAGAGTGATCGATGGCGAGCCAAAGTGTCTGATTATGGCACTGCAAATTTCGTACGTCAGAGCAACATAAATTACGCCGGTGCTGCGATCTACAGTGCACCAGAATTCTTGAATGAGAACCACGACCAGCCTATTAGCTGCAAGGTTAATACGCCAGTTTCATTTTAAAGTCGGTTGCAGAGATAAATGATCGTAAAAGAACTCCGGAAGGGTATAATTTAACTGGGGGGTTTTCATGTCAGCTCCGACTCCCTATTTCGCTTTTAATTAAGCATTGATTGGAAGTTAGCCCAGTATCTATCTATCTATCTATCTATCTATCTATCTATCAAGAATTCACTGCGATCCTTTTTTTTTTTTTTTCACTTTTCAAAATCAATCGCTGGCCGCTAGTAAACATCAGACATTACTCTGTCATTAGGGACCTTATAAAGCTCAAAACTGAACCAACTTACACACGCATTCTTCAATGGTTAATTTGACAAATTGTCAAACATAATTTACTAAAAGCTGCAATCTGCAGGGCAACTATTCGCCGATAATCCCCTTACAGAAACGGTAAGAAACTACACCTCCCTACTCAGCCATTCATTGCGCGATATTCGATCAGTGGCTTATGGAAATTAGGCTCCACCAAGGTCAAACTTTCAATAATTTGATAGTTAACTAATGCATGAAGGAAACACAAGAATTTATTAGAAAGAAACGTTTCCCTCCGTGGTCAAAATTGTAGGTTGGTGGAGCATTAAAATGAAAGCTGTGTGCCATGAGGTTTAAATATCTCTCTTTTTGTTACGAAAATTAACATAATATTGTTCTTAGGTTGATGTTTACAGCTTTGGCGTTCTTCTCTGTGAAATGTGCATCAGGCAAGAACCAGATCCACAACGGCGAAGAAGGCAAATAGCAGCGATTAGGAACGGCCATTTTCGCGGGCTCGTAGAACGCTGTGTACATGAAGTGCCTGGAATGAGGCCAAATATGGAGTCAATCATTGAAGAACTAAATCCAGGAGAAGCTAGTGAGAGCCGAATATGAAGGGTCGAGATTTTGCCGGACCGTAAACAGTTCCGCTAGGTTTTTGTGCTGAAAACGCACGGTTCTATGGTGTAGGCGCCACCTAGGTCTTGGACTATTAGGTGAGCGAAAGCTGAATAGGCCCCAAAATCACCTTGGGACGTGGGGCGTGGCTTGCGGATGCATAAAAAGTCCAGGTGCCCTCCCTCTTCTCCAGTTCCCAGCTTTCATGCGTTCTCTAAAAATCCAAGAAGGCGCCTACAGTTACGTCTATACATTTTTGAGGAGTATAATTGCGGAAGGATTACTTGTGCAATCTTCTTCTATTATGGCATGCTTTTCGCTTTTATATCATGCAAGTATATTCATTTCGGAATCAGTTATATTTATTCTGCCAGCTGAAGTACGATCAGAAATTGATTTCAATTTTTAGAAATTACGTGGCTGAGAAATGGCAAACTTTAATTCAAGTCGGAGAAGGAAAAACGGGTTTAATTGAATAAGTCAATGAGTTTTACAAGTTACTAGACTTCCAAGTTGCAGGTTATGTAGCACAGTTGTCTGGACACGAATTTATTAGAACCAAGGAAGGTGTATGGTTGCCATGAACTGTGATTATTCTGTAAACATTAACATGATATATATATCGTCTGTGACTTTACAGGTCGCAATTATTAACATTGAGTACGATGTGCCATGTCCACATACATTCCTTTTCAATTGTGTTTGTATGTTAACGGTTAGGCTTTCAGTCCGTTTTGTGAAAACGCTTTGATTTATCGTTGGCCTATAGACGCGGCAGAGAAAAGAATAAAAACGGATCATGTAGATAGTAAACAGCTTCTTTTCTTTGTTTTTCTAATAATAAAACAACGGGCACCATCAAACGGCGCGAATATGGTAGCCTACAACAAAAGTGTTTTTGCCCAACTTTTTAGTTATTGTGGCTTCCACAAACCAAGAAGCAGCGTTGGGTGCACTTTTTCCCAATATACTCCCTGTTCACAAGCATAGGAAGCCCAGTGTGTCTGAAAAATATCTAGAAGTAACATGGACTTTATGGAAACAAATTTTGCATCAGCCGCAAATATTGTTTAAAGCAGAAACGGTAAAATATTACTACTCATCGTTGGTAAAAACCCGACGAAGAAAGGTTGGCTTTGGAAATGCTGTATGTTTGTAATATATCTGAATGACAATACAATAAAATTAGCCTTTGTGTTTTTTAAAGTTAGTTTCTTTAGGGCGGTTTTCAATTGAGTGTCGTAAAACCAAACCCAAAGCAATTACTCTGACCAATCACAACGGACCGAAACAGTGCAATTACATGAAACCGGCGCAAAGGGCGGGAAAATACGCGCGTGCAAGTCCCGATTGGTTTTGGTTTTGCTTCTAATTGGTTGAAAAAGTGGCACGAGTTTTGCTGATCAATCACAGAGCGAAGTAATGCAAAACAATGCTATACTCTAGTGGCTGGTATACCATCTTACTTAACTCTGCAAATATGCTGACGTTAGACATTTGTTTGTTTCCTCTCTGCAATTCTTCACCACATGCCTTATTTAAGGTGGCTCTCACCGGTTTCCAGCACTTTCCAGCACTTTTGTTTTGTTAGATCATTGCCACCAAAATTTATAATATATTGCCATAATAGTGGTATCAAAGAAATGCCCAATCGATTTGGTGAACAAGTTGTGAAACTTTTTTAGATTTTCATAGCAACACTTAAACCTGTTAAAAACACGCCTAATTTTAGCTTTAAGCGACAATAACTCAAAAACGAGCTCGGTGACCCCCATTTTTTTATTGTCGGGAAATAATTAGCATAATGAAATACAACTTTTTTTGCACAGTTAAAAAAAAAATTGTAATAGCGGATTCAGAGCCACCTTAACTTTTTGCTTGCTTTCAAGGCCGTGGTGTATTTCCCACATCCCCCGCTTTCTCACGAGAGAGGTGTTATATGGCTAGACCAGAGCAATACAGTACACATTCGCGCTCTCAACATAGTACTTGCTACAGACTTTGCAGGTGTGGCGAGAGCGACAGCAGTCCAAGGGTCATCGGCAAAAGCTAGTATTCCAAGAATAACAGAAGTACAGAAGTAGAAAGAATTGAATTTGCGTTGCAAACTAGCCCATGACGAAGTCATCTGGCCCACTGATTCATGTTGGGTTTGGAACCAGAGTATGAAAGCTGCACAGGATTCTTGCCACATCCTTCTCTCATTAATTGCATTTCAGAGTTAGAGAAAGGTGTTCAGGGGTTTCAATTAGAACAGGTTATTAGATTGGTTGTATTTGATTTTTCTCAATTCTTTTCTTTATGTCTGTAAGGCTGTTGCATTTTCATTAACACTTCAACGCCTAGCTCAAACCTCAAATAGCCTACTAGCCCCCAGGGACTCAACACACAAACAAGCACGCCTAAAACACTTCTTTAGTTAGCACGAAACCGAGAAAAACTAGTTTACATATTCTTGTGTAATTAAAAAAAGTTACGAAATATATTTTAAGAAAATAGAAGAAATGGTGACCTCTCTGGCGTAATAACATCCTCAAGGGCTGAATAGTCGGTTTAGGAAGAAGTCAAACGCGCGAAAGCGACGCGAAGGAAAGTTTACTAGAATCTCACTCCTTCTTGTTCATCACTGATCAGCAGACGAGAAATGCGACGCCGAGTAAACAGTTTGCCATTTGTAATTCAATTTAGGAAAGAGTTCAGAACTCCGTCGTGTCTAATGTACAAGTGACTTTTTAATTTTACCGAAAAGAAATCCCGGGTTTTTTTAAACCCGCCCACATCTCTCGAAAGGCCATGATCAAACAAATAACAAGATATTGGAATAAGAACGTTCTCTGGTTAAAAATATATTAAAAACATAAGCTTTCGGCTATCAGTCTATAGCCTTTAACGAATGAAAAATGTGGCGCGCAAGCGAAAAT